ACGTTGGAAATAGTCTGCACTGTAACTTGAGGGGATACTAAATTCGGATTTCGTCCTACCCATGAGTCTCTTCTCTTGCAAAAGCTTTTTAGCTGCTTCTGTCTCCTCAATGTTTCTCAACTTGTATCTGCAACCATGGAAACAACACCATCCATTAATATGATATGGAATTGACACCCTTCTGGATCAAGGGATCACATATCACAGCACAAATGCAGAAAAAAACAGCCACACAGAAGCTAGATTGTTCCCCTGGATAAAAAATTAGAATGTTGGCAACTAATCGTCAGTGAATGATACACAAATAAAATTGCATTCTATTCCAAGAAATTAGAAAAAGACATACTCAATTGGCAGCTGAACCTCAGCAATCCCAGTAGTCCACTGTGTAGAGCTTTCTTCTGAGTTACGCTTTTTCACCTGAGAGAAAATTGGAAAAAAATGAGAAAACAACCATGAAAAGAAAATCTTCGTGCACAGCAAAAAGAAATGTAGAAAGCCCTCCACTATCTACCCATGCTGATAATATACATAAATTACTAAAGCCAAACAGAGAAAATCCCCTCAAAAACAGTATTAACAAATCTAACATATAGATTACATAAACATGATAAGCTAGAACCATTATAGAAAGTTATGCAACATTAACAAATTTATATCATGGACAAGAAAGGCTAGAACCAAACACAGAAAGTACAAAAACATGTTGCAAGCTATTTTACCATAAAATTAGTTATGCATTTGCTAAAGTATGCTGCATTCACAACCTAGATAATTATTCAGCCGAACTGAATTTCCACACCATAGAAACCCGTGTTATTAGGTAAACAAAACTAAGCACTTATTAATGAACATGCATATTAAGCGTATCTAATGTTACATACAGAAACTCTACAATGAAAAATTAGCTGCCTGGCTATAGTTAAGAACCAAAAACAAAATGCAAATTTAGATGTCTAAAAGCATCAAAATAGTTACAATTAACCTTAAGATGCTCTGGAATTTTGTACAATTCATCTTCTGCACGGTTTAACTCATTCTCAACTTGGTCTATATTTTCAATATTCCTTCCCCTTTTCTTTGCCAATTCTTGTTCAACATACTTCACCCTGTTTAACAATGTAACCATCAAGCAACAAAAAGAAAATGTAACATTGTTATCTAAGACTCAAAAAATTGAAGGGGGGGAAGCATGCAATATCCTGTAAAAAGCAACTCAAATTCTCCTTTCTCAACTAGTGTATCTAATAGCCAAACTGAATTACAAGAAATCCAAACGACAGAGACGTCAGAATGATGAGAGTCAGAAACCAATTATTCATTGACTATCAGCAGGGACTATCACTTAACAAACTTCAGATGGGCAACAAGAATTTGAAGAATTAACCAGAATCAATGGCAGACAATATACTTCTGGGTCAAGGCATTTTGAATGATCCCAGACACAGGATCATAAGAATTTCCTGAAGACAAGAAATTAGATAAAAAAAGAGCCTTTTCATTTTCAAGTCCATCCAAGTGAAGCATGTTTCTTTCTTTTATTGTGAGGGAAAGCAGAAATTCTATTGAGAATAAATTTAACAGATAAGACAGAGGCAAAGCACTAGCCCCGAATTTAAGTTGTATTGCATATCTGCCAAAGAATGAATATCACTGACTGTTCGCCCTGATAACCTGCCTTTTACCCACCCCTCAGTCACCCTGCCCTATTTACCCTCCATTTTACCTAAAAAATAAAAGATAGCATAATATTTGAGTATTAAATTAACAGATTGTTTTTTACTTTAAATTTTAAAATTAAAACAGAACCAAATACCAAATTCCAAACAGATCTAGTATCATAATTGTTACATAAAAAATGACTAATTTTAGAATATAAGGAAAAGAAAAAAAGACAGACTGAGGTGGATATACACCTTAACCTGCACTTAGGGCATACCTGTTACTGGTAAAGTATTTTGTTCCATATCCATCCTGCAACCCATTTATGCTATCTGTTTATTTGCCACACCCATCCTGCAACCCGTTTTTTCTATCTGTTTATTTGCCCCACCTGGGGCAGGGGCGGTTAGTGGAAAACCCACCCATCCTTCATCCCTAATATGATAGAACTCATGAATATCAGCAAGCTGGTATTCTTCCCTCAATGCCCACCCTCCAAACACTTGCCTAAACTTATAGCATGAAAAGACTAAAATGCTTAAAACTGACATTCCATCACTATAAACATAGTGGTCAAAGGAACAAGGGGAAGAGAAGATGCATTTTCAACCGAAAGCATTTGATTAATATGGACAATCCCAAGTTTAATCCAAGATATGGCCATACCCAAAAATTTTTAGACATCTCTCACATTCTATTATATTCTATTCTATTCTATACTTCAACAGATAATGCAGTACAACTCAAAAGCACCATCCTTGCAACCCATTAATTCAAATTCTAGAAGTGAATGTATAGAAACATAAATTATGTGTTAAGAGAGAGATAGAGAGAGATGTGTATAATCACATGTTAGGATCTTCGACCATAACAGCAGTCTCCTGGGCGAAAGTATCTTGCAAGACCAGCTCCTCCTTTTCTCCATCCCCCTCGTTTTTCTCGGTCACTTTCGCCACTACTCCTGCAGTCTGTACCGTAGGGATTGCCGGGATTCCAGATTTCCTCTCCCTCTGTCTCTGCAAGAACTTCACCTCCTCCAATGCCAATCTGATATCAGTCTTCCGTTAATTTACTTAATACACAGACACGAAAATATGAAAACTTCACGTCCATAAAAACGTTAACAAAATCTCCGAAAAGATATTGGATTAGAGAGAAAGTGAGAGAGAGCGAGAGAGAAAGAGAGAGATAGATAGATAGAGAGAGAGAGAGAGAGAGAAACCCTAATTATTGAGACCTTCTTTCCTGCTCGTCATCTGATGCGTCGTTTTTGGTTGGATCGTCTTCATCTTGTTGGAAACTTCTTTTCCTAAAATTCCTCTTCCGCATCGAAACTGTCCTTGAAGCTCTTGTTTACTCTTCCAGTAAATGATTGCGAGCTTCTATTATCAGTTCTTTCTGTTTAGGCTTCAGGGAGGAACTCCGCCACCCACAATTTGCAAACCCTTTAACGAAACGCACCGTTTTTCCTCTTTCTCCAGTCATGTACTTTGGGGTTCAGCTATAGTTAATAAACAGGGTTATAAGTGAAATGTTTTTTTAAAAAGAAAAACTAAGAAATAAAATTTGAATCTTAATATTTTTATTTACTTTAAATTTATAAAATTTTACAATATTAATTGAAAAAATAATCAATAATCTTATTTATTAAAAAATTAAAAATCTTAATATTTTGAACATAAAATTTTTTATTAAGTCAAAGGAATTAAGAAGTATAAATAGAAGATTCAAGATAGTTACACATATTCACGAATTTGTTGGTTGTTCAATTTCATAAGTTTGTAAAATGAAGTTTCTTGAAATTCATATTTGTCTTGAACTTGTTGATTTAGGTTTCATGAGTTTCAGCAAGGCTCATTTATAATATGTTTTAAATTTTAGAATATTATACACCATCACTAA